GTACTGACTTCTAATGATATGTCTAGCTATTCTCAGCCAGTGTTGTTGAGAGTACCCAAGTCATCCAATTTAGTTGAGTCCATGGGAATTATAGAGGGAGTCTCAGTAAATCAAAGAATCTCCACTTTGAAAGGGATATTTGGATCATCTAGCTCAATTCCCAGTATTCTAACTGGAAATACATAGGCCAGTTATCTAATATTTCCTTTTCATCTCTGAGCATGAATTTTGAATCCTGATCACCAAACGTTGCCACCAATTCTGTCTTCCTCTTTTGGTAGTCTAAAATAATCTTTAATTCTAACTTTGGACACCCTTAAAGATGCTTTCAAAGTATTTTTGACCACCTCGTTTCTAGCAAGTAAGTTTATCTTCCTATAGAATGCATAGATTTCAGTTGTAAAATATGTGAAGCAATAATAGAACTAAAAGGAAAAATAGACAAATCCACAATTTTAGTTGGAGACTTCAACACCCCTCTCTCAACAGTTGATAGGACAACTGAACAGAAGGTCAGAAAAAATACAGAAGTGATCTACAGAAGAAACAGAATTGGAAAACAAGTAAAAAAAGAAAAAAAATAAAGAAAATATATGGAAGTGATGATTTTACACATGTATGAAGAACTGATATTTTAGAAATAATCTGTGGACTTTTAGAAATATTTCATTTTATAGCTATTGCCTGAATGTTATTTTGACTTCCAAAAGATCTCACAGGCCAGGATTGGTGGCTCATGCCTGTAATCCCAACACTTTGGGAGGCCAAGATGGGTGAATCACCTGAGGTCAGGAGTTTAAGACCAGCCTGGCCAAGATGGCAAAACCCCATCTCTACTAAAAATACAAAAATTAGCCGGTGTGTGGTGGCATCTGCCTGTAGTCCAAGCTACTTGGGAGGTTGAGGCAGAAGAATCATTTGACACAGTGAGCCAAGATTGCGCCACTATAGTCCAGCCTGGGTGACAAATCGAGACTCGGTCCCCGCCCCCAAAAAAAGACCTCACAAATTTGCTTTAGTCTTGTTTTTAGCAATGTTCTCAGTGTCTTAGATTCATTTATCCATTCAGTTATTCAACAAATATTAATGCCTACTATAAGCAAGCTATTGCACTGGGCATTACAATTGATTTTATTGTTTTTGAAATGTTTAATAAGTAAATTCTATATAGAAGAAACTAACAATAGTATAAATAAAATAAACTTTAAAAAAGCTGTAGGACTATATTTGTCTGATCGAGCTGCCATAACAAAATACTACGGATAGGGTAGTTTAAACAACAGAAATGTTCTTACAGTTCTGAAGACTGGGAGTCCCAGTCCAACGTATAAGCAGGGTTGATATCTGGTAAGACTCTTCAGTGGTTTAAAGACGGTCCTTCTTAGTATGCCCTCCCATAGCATATCTTCTAAGTGCATGCAGAGAGAGAGATTTCTTCTTCTTCTTACAAAGCCATCAGTCCTATCAGATTAGGGCCCCACATTTATGATCTCTTTTAACCTTAAAACCCATCTCCAAATATAGCCACATTGGAGATTAGGGCTTCCACACACAAATTTGGAAGAGGACACAACTTAGCCCATAGCAAGAACTAAATCAATCAGCAAGCATCCTTTACTTCTTTCAGAGGTTCTTCTCTGGAGAGAATTATGGAATGGTAGTTCTCACCAGCACCCCGTTGTTATGTGTAAGAAAAAAACACAATTTGGAGAGAGAAAATGGCTTTCCTGAAGATCACAGAGTACATGGGAACAGAGAAAGTAGCAAAACCCAAGTCCCCAGTGCACTGTCCTTTTGGTCTGGCCTTGGATCAGAGAGTTATTGCTCCACAGCATACAATGAAGCTGCAGCTAGCTTCAGTAGATGTTTCTACCATGCAGTCTATGGACTCTTCCTATTAATCCTCTCCCCAGATCTCCCTCCTCACATTTACCGAAATATCACATCAGAGCTCCTAACCAAAATCTTTTGCCCGCGAATCCAAAGCTGGTTTTCTCTTGTGAGTACTGAGTTTATCAGAACCACCTTGGGGATTTTATTATCCTTCATGATACAGGCCCAGTATGATTATACTCTGTATAATCCTCTGCCATCAGGGCCAACAGATAAATGACTCCCCTCTCTGTACCATCTCTGTCATTTGGTGGGGATCATTTTTGGATTAGAGAAGGTTCATCAAGGTCATTGCTTCTTCCAGATTGTGAGCCATATTGAAGATATGCTCCCATCAATATGAAATGTAGTTGCATTTTCATCCACCACCCCAGGCTCTCTCTTCTCATTACTTGAGGACTGATGTGCTACAGAAGACCTTGAAAAATGACTAGTTGACCTAGTCGACCCATCAATCTCTCTGGCTCAGTCTTTCCCACTCACAGAAGACAAATGCCTTCTCTGAGGGCCAGGACTTTATTTATACTCACAACAGGGTTTTTTTTGTTTCTTTGTTTTGTTTTGTTTTGTTTTGTTTTGTTGAGACATAGTCGAGTCTCACTGTGTCGCCCATACTGGAGTGCAGTGGTGAGGTCATGGCTTACTGGAACCTCCATCTCCTGGATTCAAATGATTCTCCTGCCTCAGCCTCCTGAGTAGCTGGGATTACAGGCATGCGCCACCACACCCAGCTAATTTTTCGTATTTTTAGTAAACATGGGGTTTCACTATGTTTGCCAGGCTGGTCTTGAACTCCTGACCTCATAATCCATCTGCCTTGGCCTCTCAAAGTGCTGGGATTACAGGCGTGAGCCACCATGCCTGGCCTTACAGCAGATATTTTAATATCAGGCAGATGAACAAACCCAGTCCAACAAACCAGACAGCAAATCCCCTGCTACTGGGATTTCTCTCTTGCTGTCTTGTTAATGTGCTAAATCATAATATCTATGGAAAACATCTAATAATTATGGTATGAGCATAAATATACTTTCAGGTATCTATAACAACTATAATGTGATATCCATTATTTTTATCATTGGTAAAGTTACAGATACTTCTTTCTCTTTCTTCTTTCTTCTTTTCTTTTTTCTTGATCACCTTTTCCTTAGATTTGTAAATCCTTAGACTTGTACCAATTAATCGTTCTTGCCATTTAGCAACTGGCATTGTCACTACCACATATGGCCCAAGATGGCAGACTTTAGTTGACTAATTGGTTGGTTGACTGGGTGGACTTTTCTGAGTATGATGTTTGGTTCATCAATCCAAGAATCACAGAACCTCTGGGTTGGGTGTGCTGATTCTTAAACCCTAGCTGCACATTAGAAGAACTTCTATAAAATACCAATGCCTGGGCCCCACCTTTACAGATTCTGATTTAATTTGGTCTTTGTCTCAAAGGTTCTCCATGTGATTCTCATGTGTGGCCAGGATTGAGAATCTCTGGATAGAGCTAAAAGGTTACCCAGACAACTTAAATCCCTTCTACTGGGAAATCTAGAAAGATGACTCTTTCTGGATTTTCTTTTTGAAACTAAGATTCTAGGTAGTATTGTCTTCCTGACAATCTTCCTGAGTATAAAAACTCTGCTCTGTTATTATAGAATGAAGCAGCAGGTAATGGTTAGTGGTAGACCAGAACTTCCCCTTAAAAAATCCCAGCAGTGCTTAGCTGTGGCACTTCCTGATGTTAGGGAAATATCCTCCTAGGTCACTGGTTCTCACCTGGGGGAAAATCTCCCCCCAAGTGATGTTTGGCAATGTCTGGAGACATTTTTGGTTGTTACAACTTGGTAGAATGCCACTGGAACCTAGTGGGGGGAAGGCCATGGATGATGCTAAGCACCAAACACCTCCCAACAACAAAGTATTATTTGGTGCAAAATGTCAGTAGTGCCAGGGTTGAGAAACTATTTCCTAGATTCTTGCTCTCAAGTCCCCCATTACACCCCTAAGAGATACCACCCTTAATGGAATTCGTCCTAAAGCATCTCTTTCTTTCTGAAGCATGATTGCAGCACTGTTTCCCAAATCAACATTTTACATCCCTTTTAAGCATCTTAGAATGTGATCATCCTGCTTTACTTTGAAGAAATGAAGGCTGCTGCCTGACAGTGTATGTCAGAGAGGCAGAATAATCTCAGGGCTGCCTTTTCTACTTGCTGCTTCCTTTCCCATCTGGCTGGCTTCCTGAAATACAGAATGAGCTGAGCCCTATGACCTGATGGAAGCCCTGCCAAGCCCACCTTGACCAGGTTCTGCAGCCAATGGAGCTGGTCCTCAGGGTGCAGGTCACTCCATGCGATGTGGCAGCTGGGCTTATCAGCTGCCAGTCTGGCTAGGTCAGGCCTGCTGCCAAGTTGATTAACAAATACTGGGCTGACACTTCAAGAAGTGCCTAAACTTGCTGATTTTCCTCCCTACTTCCTTAGATCACTTCATTATTAAATTAAAGATTGTTGTGATTTAAACTGAACTGTCAGGCAGCCTAGGGACAAACGTGGGGTTTCGTGAAGTACAGCTGAACCTGGTACGGCATTTACCATATCCAATCTCAGCTGGGTGCTGTTTCTTTCTCTTAAAAAAAAATAATTTAAAACTCTAAGGGCTTGAAGTAGAAGTAGAACCTTCCCCTGCAGTGTCAGGAGCCCACACAGAGAGACTGGCATGCCAGGAAAGGGAGCTGATTATAAATAGCATAAAAAGCAGCATCAGTCAGAACTCACTGATGTGCCTGAGCAAAATGTTAAAAGAAACAAATAGCTTCCAAAAGAGGAAGCAATGGTTTTCTTTTATTTTTATAAAGTGCCAAGGAACAAAAGCAGTTTATATTCATATAGTTTTAAGCGCGCACACACACACGTGTGCATGCACAAATAACATATACACTAACAGAGTCCCTTTAAGAAAATGATGGATAATCATTTTAAAATAACAAAATCACAAGGAGAGCCTCACAGAGGGAGCAGCTTTCCTTTCTCTTCTGTGTAATTGATGCTATTTATTTAGAAGGTCTATGGTTTCCCTTTGTGAAGTAATTTTTCTGTATGTGTATTTTTTTCCAGCTTAGATGGAAACCATTTGAGATTCCAAAAGCATCTCAAAAGAAAGTGGACTTTGTGAGTGTAAGTCTGTCCTAACTATGCGCCTCCTACTGCTCTCGTCTCTTCTGTGGTGAGTGAGCCAACCATATGCAGGCTGAATTCCAAGCAGAAGCAGCCCTATCAGGAGGCAGCAGATACAAAACCACCTGCATATGCTTTGGGGGCTTGCGGAGGGATGTCTTACTTACAGAAACCATATGACCCCTGACACCAAAGGGTACTCATTAACTATTTATATCTCAGAAAGGCCAGTGGCAATTGAACATTTTCCTACTTAAGCTCCTTTCTTTTGGCTAGAACAGGGGCTTTGAATCTTTTTGCTTATTTTGATGGTCTGATGATGTCTTTGTTTATAAATATATAAAATATATTATATAAAATTACAAAGAAGCTAATGATATTGAAATATAATGACAAAAATAACATTAAAAACAAATTTGATTTGTAGTCATATATATTCTGTCTTGTTAATGTGCTAAATCATAATATCTATGGAAAACATCTAATAATTATGGTATGAGCATAAATATACTTTGAGGTATCTATAACAACTATAATGTGATATCCATTATTTTTATCATTGATGAAGTTATAGGCACTTCTTATCCTGCTATGGTTTGTTGCCTACATTCATATTAGTTGAAGGAAATGATAAATTTCACTCAGAGATTAGCAAAAATAAACAGAAAATATTTCCCATCCAAGTTCATTATCTTCCTGAAGTAGATTGGGCTAGAATGGCATTGACTCAGCAAGGCAACTCTAGTTAGTGCAATGCTGATTGGAAGCTCTGTTCGGTAGTTATAGGTGCTAGGAATACTGGAATAACTGCCCAGAGTAAGGAGTATCTTGGAGAGAGGAGAAAGGATCTCTAAGGAAGTGGGGCTCAAAGCAACCGGTGGAGGGCTCTGCAGACCACCCTCAGCTCATGGCTTTCTTAGGGACAGTCCAAGTGCCCAACCATAGGATAAATTGTTGGAATCATCTTGAAGTTCTCATCTTCATTAAGTGCTCCAAACCCTGTGTAGACTTACTTAAATATACCCTAAACTTACAAATTTAGTTAAAATACAAAATGGTAGCCCCATCCCCTTTCTTGTGTGAACCGTGGATATCTGGAGGAGCAGAGCTCCCTCCTTTGTGCTCTCCATCTGCAGGTTTGGGGCTGAGAGCTGCTTTGAGAAGGCCCATGTGTTAAGGTTTCTTGCACTGTGCATCATCTGGTCACACAGAAGAGAGAATTGCAGTCTGTCAGAATGCAGTCTGCCCTGTTCCAGAGAGATTAGGCCAACCCTATTCATAAGCAGAGGGCTGCCCATAGTGGAGTGTACTTGAGGGGCCTTAACCGTTCCCTGATGCTGCAACCTTCCTCCCTGAGCCTCGTAGATGCCTGATGGTACCTCCAACAGACTCTCTTCTTCCAGTTGATGTCAAGCATCAAACTGATAAAATACAAAGTAATGAACTGATGCTCTGTAAGTTCTTCTGATATAGCCACTAAGACAACCCAGATTTAGGCCATGCCTGGAGACTAGGGTAAACCACAAACTACCAAACATGAATCAGTAAATTCAGGCTCCTCAGAGGCTGCCTGGATTCCAAATGTCCCACTGGTCCCAAAGGGAAGAGCCTAGTAGAAATGTTCTTCATGACCATCAGGGACCAGTGGAAGGGCTGTCTCTTGGGCACCGTTCACATTAATCTTTCCCTCTCCTGTGGCTCTCTCCCAGGGCCTGCACACCTTGTGTGGAGCTGGAGACATAAAGTCTAACAATGGGCTTGCTATCCACATTTTCCTCTGTAATACCTCCATGGAGAACAGGTAAGTGGCTAAGTTCTAGACTAGAACATGCCCATCCCTTAAGGGCTGTTGGCCAGAAAGTAAACTCCAGATCTTGCTCTTGTGAAGTCACATATGCACATACTTAGTTGTTTTTGTTATTGGGTTTTTCCTCAAGGCAATATTGATATATATTTATTGACAATGATAATAAATTAGCCAAAAGGTATTTATCTTGACTGGCACCCATGATATAAACAAGAACATCACATAACAATGTAAACAGAAAAGGGAGGATGGAGCCCTGGAATGTAGGAGTAGATTGAAAGGCATTTGACTCTGAGTCCAAATATTGTTTTGTTGTTGTTTTTTAAACTTCAAGGATTTTTCTGAGCCAAATATGAGTGACCTCAGCTGAATATGATCTTGAGAACATGTGCCCAAGGTGGTTGGGCTACAGCTTGGTTTTATACATTTTAGGGAGACATAAGACATCAATCAATACATGTAGGGTGTACATTAGATCCAAACAGTGTTTTTTGTCTCAGTAGAAAAATAACAGCACATTTAAAGGAGAAAGAAAAGAAAACAGAGAACTGGAGAACTTAGGAACTCTGTAGTTGCAGGTTGACCTTTGGGCTCTGAATTATGTAGTTTTCCCATCAGTTTAAAATGTGCACAACAGACTGTAATATGTAACCATAGGAGTTTCTAGCACAGGAGTACTAGAAACCCTGGCATGCCCTTGAACTTGAACTTGTGGTTTACCCTAGTCTCCAGTTTAAAATGTGCACAACAGACTGTAATATGTAACTAGGAGTTTCTAGTACAGGAATACTAGAAACGCTGGCATGCCCTTGAACTTTTCCATTTTACACAAACGCTTGCAAGTAGAGGCACCTTTCTCCGTGTCTTTCCTCATTCTTAGATTGTTTCCCACACTTTTTTTCTTAAAAGGAGGAACTGAACTGTGGCCTGGGAGTTGTTTGGGTGGCGGATCAGTGTACCATTTGTGGGCAGGCCTCCACAGTGTTTCACCATGGAGTTGTTTTCACCCTCTTATGTGTCTCAGTTTCTTTCTCCAGAGATCTAGCACCTCGGAGAGGCCTCAAAATGCCAAGTAATCAGCTCTTATATGCGTTTCTAGGACAAACCTTTTTAAACTTTTTTTTGTGGGGGGGTTCCCTGTAGGGCCACTGCACATCACAGGGGATTAATCCCCCAGACACTGCAACTCAGCCCCTGGACACCCAAGGTGACTTTCAGCTGGGAGGAACAAAATGCCCTTTCTCTGTAAAAGTGACAGTTCAATTTCTTATGCAAATGCGCAGACAAGCCAATTGAGCTAAATTTGGGGAGAAAAAAACAATGGAGAAGACTATTTAGAATGCACCTCCAAACTGGAAACCAAAAGGTACCCAAAAGCGGGTCATTCTTCTTGTCTTTAGAAAAAGACAATGGAAAAAATCCTTTAGAATGCATCTGTGAACTAGAATTAGGAATCTAAACAAGAACTTCCTAGGAGGAAAAAGAAAAAAAGCTCAGAATAAATCAAGGACCATCAACAAAACAGGGCTCAGGGGGACTTAACAGTTCCATCAGAGGAGAAGCCTAAAGTTGAAGGGGTTTTCCATGAGCCCCTGCTGGTACCTTAGCTCTGAGTTCAGGCAACTCCCTCAGGTTTCTGAGTATTCTCTGAGGCCTTTTGTGTCCAGGTGCCAAATTATTGTATACAAAAAGAGTCAAACTATTAATATGTAAAATATTTGAGTTTATTTATTCTAAGCCAAATATGAGTGCCAAGTAACCTATGACCCAGCCCTCAGGAGATCCTAAGAATATGTGCTCTTGAATATCCTTAATTTCTAAGGTTCTCCAGGGCTGTTCTTGAGTCCCAGGTCACTCTGTGAGTTTCCATTAGGTTCACCCGTTAGTGGCAGGTCAAGCTAACAGACTTTGGATTCAGCTAATAGTTCTGTGTAAGCTTAAAATTCCTAAGTAGAGGAGTTTATAAACTGGCTTTGCAAAGCAAGTATGCAAATGGCATTCTTCCCTTATTATACGCTAATTCTGGAACTGGACCATTTGTGTCCAAAGCTCAACTCCACATTTTCTGGCTAGCGACCTGTGGTGTAAGACATTTAACTCCTGAGCCATGAATCAGGGGCAAGATCACACCCCTATGGCAAGGCTCTGGAGGCCTCTCTTTGGGTCAAATCTCATATTAGGCCACCTCCCCTGTCTCCATTTGAGCTGCACTGGCCTTCATTCACTTCCTTCAACCTGCCACATGCCCTCCTCCTTCTGAGCACTTGCACTTGCTGTTCCTTCTGTCTGGAACATTCTTTCCTTTCTCCAGACCTCACCTAGATAACGCCTTCAGATCTCTGGTCAAATGTGTCCCTTCTTTGAAGAAGCCTTTGCTGATTCTTTAAACTAACCAAGTCCTTATTCTTTCATTCCCTTGAACAGGGCCATTACAATGATGATTTTGTTCTGCAGTTATTTGATTGCTGCAATGATTTTGTTCTGTAATTTGTTTGATTGCTCTCTGACTCCCCACTAGACTCCAGGTTCCACAAGGGCAGTACCTGAGTCATTTTGCTCCCCATTTTATAGCCAGCTCTGAGCTTGGTGCAGAGTAGGTACTAAACAATAATTTGTGTTATGAATTAATTTGTCTAGATAATGTTAAAACTGAAAATCACAGGAATTACTCTATATGTTTCAGATGCTTTTACAATTCAGATGGGGACTTCTTGATTGGTGAGTTCTGAAGACTTCAGACCCCCTCACTGTTAACTGACCCCTAGCCACAAGCTGCTTTCTAATTTTATGCACATTACTTTCCTTCATTCTCCAATCTGTCTTATTTCATTTAGTGCAATCCAGAGACTGAGGTCTAGAGGCCACAAGTGGTCTGGAAAAGATTTCTAGTGTACCTCAGAGCTCCTATTCTATTTCTTTGTCTCTCCGTCTTTGCCCACCTCTTCTGGACCTTTCTGATGTGGGAGACCTGGGCAGCTGAAAAGAAAGGAAGACTAATACCAATGGGATTAACTTATTAAGATAACTGTATTTGCCTTTGAACTCACTCAGTAAAAGCCCATTTATCATTAGTAACTGCAGTTTAAGTTCAAATTTTCATGAGACCATCTAAAATGTAAAGTCTATCAGAGATTATTCTGGTCTGCCTGTTACATTTGATGGTTTTTTTAGTATCAATATTTTGGAGTCAACATTTTGGTGTATACGTTATATAAGCAAACGTCAGCCTTTCACTGGAACTAACAGAAATGGGTGACTTTCCATCCTATTTCTGCTACCCCTTTTTGGCTATATCACAAAATTGTGCATATACAAGTTCCTTGCCTGGTGACAACAAAAGCAGAGTCATTGTTTTATTCACATTCTTCTAGATAGGAAAATAGCTAATCTAACTTGTCAGAATATATCCTTTCCTCCAAGAGACTCAATAAAGCTCTTTTCTTTTGGAATGAAAAAGCAAATGCAGCCCTTAAGCCTTTCCTGTTCGTGAAATGGTTATCACACCAAAAGAATTGCTCACCACTGCCCTGTCTTTTTTTGTCAGTTCCCCAGAAAGGGAACCTTCTCATTTACACCGAGTTTGGCAAGATGCTTGTACAGCCCAATGAGATCTGCGTCATTCAGGTTGGTGATGTGTCCCATTCTCTTCCCTGCCTCTCACTAATTTGGGAGCAGTCAGATGTTTCAGCTGCTGCTATTTCCAACTCTAAAATTTCTCTGTCATGTCTGGGCAACGAGGAGGGAGCTTGAGTTATGCAGAAGGTTCCATGTGCTGGAGAGTAAGCAAGCTTGGGTGCCTGCTTTGTTTTAATATAGCACATAATTCTAAAGCACAGACCACTTGTCACTGCACTTTACTAAATATTTACATACAGTCTGGATAAGGCCCTATTCCCACTAATGGCAGTAGAAACAGTGAAGGTTGACTTTTTTTTTTTTTTTAATGTGACTAAAGCAGGCTTATCGTTATCTCTGGACCCAATGAGAGGGTAGACTAGAATTGGCTTGGGTCACATATGTGATTAGGAATTAAGTTTTGCTTTTTAACTCATCTTTGCTCTGGTCACCTCTCAGTCAGCTCAACAAACCAGAGCTTTATTTTTGCATGTGGGACTGGCTATGGCTCTGGGCAGCTTCTTTATAACTACAGCTGTGATTTCAGAGGGCACACCAGTGTCTACTTTCCATTCCAGAGAGGAATGCGGTTCAGCATAGATGTGTTTGAGGAAACCAGGGGCTACATCTTGGAGGTCTACGGTGTCCACTTTGAGTTACCTGACCTTGGACCAATTGGTAAATCTTCATTACAAGCCTCTAAGCCTCACTTGAGATATAGGACACAGCTAATTGCATAAAAGTTAAACATCCTTCCCTCTGGACTATCTCACTCAAACTTCCACTTTTCTCTCTAGATAAATTCTTCTCCAGACCAAGCATCTTTCCATAAAATACATGCAAAACAGAAAGCAACCCAAACCAATCCATTATAAATCTCTCTAGAATAGTATATAAACATTGGAGATAAAGATAGCATGTAGTAGATTTCTGGTTGCACACACAGTGTGTACAGGAAAAAATGTAGAAGTTTGGGTTACTATGGGCCAGGGTCACCAGAAACAGCTCCACAAAAGAGATGAGAATTTGACTAATTCTTTACGAAAAGTTGAGGAGAGTAAAGAGGAAAGGGAACAGCTTTGCAAAAGCATACAAGTGGGAATAAGCTTTGTGATTAGGAGGAAGATCTTTTTGCTCAGTCAATGGGTTGTTTATAGACAATAAAGTGGAAAGGCCGTAAAAATGGCCTGGGCTGTATTCCTATGGAAAGGAGGGATGGACTGGGTGACACATAGTCTATGAACCTCTGTGTATACCCCACCAAATCCACACACTTAGCTGTCAAAAAAAGTATATCACTCAGTGCTATGAAGGATCTAGAAACCATACCCCAGGAGGCAGATTAAAATATTCAAAAGTGAACCAAGGCCCCTGCCCCCAACACCCATTCTTCTGGCAAGCTTGAGGAAGTGAAAATGTTAGGAGGGGTTGATCTCAGACTGCCTCTTGGAGCGAAAGGAGTGGCTGGGAAAATTGGCCCTGATTTCCTCTTTGGTCACACCTCCCAGTTCTTCCCTTCCTTGTCAACAGCTTTTTAGAGCAAACAGGGACAGGCCAGTGTGTGCCTTCTGGTCAACTCCCCTAAGGAATCCAAATATGCAGAGGAAGGTGGGAGGCAGCAAGAGGCAGCTGGAGCCATGGTGGGCCGTCTGTCATCCTGTTCACCACCCACTCTTCCCACTCTGCTCTGGCTTCCTGCTGCTATACAGTCAGCATAGCCTCCAGGTTCCATGGAACATGTATCCTCTGGAAAATATCTATAATTTACTAACCAGCCAGGGGCTTATTTTTTTTAACCCCAGGAGATGGAAATGATAAAACACTCCTCAGCTCGCTCCTCTCAGAGTTAAAATTGTTTTTGCACTTACGTTTTTCATGTTTGGTCTTTTGATTTATTTTCTTTCTCTGGAGGAGACACTCACTGCTAAGCAAAGGTAAGCAGGCAAGTCCTAAATACTTCTTCTTCCTGAGTGGCAGACAGGTTTTTCAAGCTGGAGAGCAGTTTTACAGACTTGGAATCTGAGTTCTGTCTAAGGAGCAGAGAGGCATGCCTAAGGCAACAGCCTGTAATCCTTCCTATCTGAGATCAAGGACTGTCAATGAGTTCTAGAATATTCAATGGTTCCTTGAAAAGAAAAAGTTCTGAAGTTCTTTCAGATCTTCCCTTTTTCCTCTTTTCCTGTCTCTTTCTCTCTTCCCTTCCCCTCCCCTGTAGTGATAAGATAATGCATATAAGATGGTTTTGTTAACATAGTCACTCCACAATCTTAGAAGGTAATGCTGGTTTTTGTGAATGTTTTTTCTGACCAGATTCCTTGAGTCTTCCTAAAAGGTACCAAACTGGAAATCCAGTGAATCTTTGGGCAATGAAAGCAATTTGTAGAGTAGCTCTTGACATGAAAGAAAGCCTTTCTCTTCATGCAATGCAAGGCATCTTTCCTATGTTTTGGAAGTTTCTAAAAGACTTTTGGGTTACTGTATTCTAGGGGCCAATGGCTTGGCCAATCCTCGTGATTTCTTGATACCCGTTGCCTGGTATGAGGATCGCAAAGTACCATCTGGTTACACTGTCATTAATAAATACCAGGGCAAGCTGTTTGCTGCCAAACAGGTAAAGTAAGAGGGTTGGCAGGCAGGGGAGGAAATGCATAGTGATTGAGCACTTACTGATTGCCAAGGTGAATGTTAGAAACTTTACATATATCCTTTCATTGTTATACCACTAAGGCACTGCAAATAAGATAAACAGTTCTTATAGTCAATGATACTTTCATAGTCATGAAAAAGGCCAGTAATGATAAATAGCTTACCAATTTCATAGTAAGTGGCAGAACCAGCATTTTCTCTCTCTGACTCCAAAGGTTGTGCCCTTTCTACTCACCAAGCAATGAAAATCTTACCAATATGCAGGTCTCTATAAATGGTATGGAAAACATAATATATGGGCAGCATAAGGAAATGAGTTAACAACAGATCGTCCAAGATTTATATTCTCCAATAGCACCCTATTTCAAATACAGGCCATTCTACAAAACAAGTAGAATTCAGTTAATTAGCTTGGCTTGGTTTATACTACCAGGCTGGCAAATTCAGGACACCAAGCAAAGGCACAGATATTAATAAATAATAATAATAATAACAATGCCATATGGACTCTATAACATATTACTAAATATGCTGAATATATATTAGAATAAAATAATCATATAAGAAGAAGAACCCAAAGATCTCTTCTGTTTAGCATTATCTGTTTGCTTCATTTTGTCTATTTGACTTATTCTTTATATTTTCCAAGGTATGTTATTCTTCTTAGGCAGCATCCAGAGATAATGCCAACCAGCTGAGGTCAACCAGTTTGGCACTTAGAAATTAACCCTCGAAGCAGACACATTGTCATCCTTACATTCTCGGAGTCAGGATCTCTCAAAATTCAGGGGCTATTTGCATCAGAAACCCTCAAGGAGGCTTGTTTAAAATGCAGATCCTTAGATACGACTCTAGCCTTGCAAAAATGATAACCTCTGGAGATAGGGATGAAAACCTACATTCATTTTAAGCATGTTCCCCAAATCATTGTTTATATGTAATTGTTAGAGGACCACAATTCTAGAAGCAGCCAGCAGCTCCTCCAGAAGGGTTCGCACTTTCCAAGTGGACCCTATGCTGGTTATTCTCTGTGTGAGTCCCCATTGATCCATTCTCCCTCTTTGCCGTGACCTGTGTCCTAGAAGGTTGACTGTATCACCTGACCAGGTGGCTTCTGCTGGGTTCAACCCCCAGGAAATTGGAAGGCAAGAGGAAAGAAAATTGGGATATTTCTTCCCCTGCTTCCTCCCTGTTTAGGAATGTGTTTCTGGCAGTAGCTGCATCCCCCATATGACCTGAGCTCCTGTTGGGTAGCTCTAGTGGTATGCTGGAGCTGATTCATAGTGACTTGCAAAAGCTGATTTGCATACTTCTGTCCAACTCTGTATTCAGCGATGTCACATTGGTAGCTAGAAAATGATCATGATGGCCGGGCGCGGTGGCTCAAGCCTGTAATCCCAGCACTTTGGGAGGCCGAGGTGGGTGGATCACGAGGTCAAGAGATCGAGACCATCCTGGTCAACATGGTGAAACCCCGTCTCTACTAAAAATACAAAACATTAGCTGGGCATGGTGACGCATGCCTGTAATCCCAGCTACTGAGGAGGTTGAGGCAGGAGAATTGCCTGAACCCAGGAGGCGGAGGTTGCAGTGAGCCGAGATCGTGCCATTGCACTCCAGCCTGGGTAACAAGAGTGAAACTCAGTCTCAAAAAAAAAAAAAAAAAAAAGAAAATGATCATGATGAGACTATATACACCTTAGAAATCAGTAAACTCTATGTCAATGCTTTATATTTTTCTTCAGAGTGCTAGTTGTTAAATATTTACCAGCACACCACTGGGTATCCCCCTTTTTTATAATTCAGGCTCTTGCTGAAGTTCTATAACAATATTTTCCTCCTTATTCCACATGCCTAGGAATGGCAGTGTCTTCCCACTGTTGCTATGCTCAGATACTTCAACATTTCTAGTCATTCCAGTTAACCCTGACCATGCCTCTATGATTTGCGGCTCCATTAAAATCTTTAGAGCATTCATACCCATAGCTACAGAAGGGACCATCTTCCTATGGCAGAACACTAATCCTCTTCTACTCCAGGACAGGACCAAGAAGTATTATGTTAGGATTGTTCTGAAGTCTCAAGTCCTTGGAGTTGGAACTCTTAGAGGCCTTCTCTCCTCTCATGGACTCACCAACCCAGGCACTGTGTCTATTGCAAGCCCCTCTAGGCTGAAATTACCTGGAGAAACATCACAGCAGGTACTCTCTGCTCCAGGAAACAGAAGGTAGCCCAGATTGTTTGAGAATTGCTGACATCCACAGATCCTCACAGTTAGGCTAAAAATTGTTGAAAAGGCAATACTTGGAGAATATGCTGTGCTTCTGCTGCATGTGTGATCAGAAGGCAGCTGCAGCTTATGAACCAGAAAGGATTGGTGGCTAAGTGGAGGGCATGTGGAGCAACCACAAAATGATTCACGGTTATACTTCTCCCAAAGGACAGTAGAATTAAATCAAGAACAAAATCAAATCAAAAGAAGAGAGAGGTATACCCAGTACATATTGTGGGATCACAGCTACAAAAGCATTAGATGGTAAAATCATCCTTTCCTGCTTTTTGTTATTAGGATGTCTCCCCATTCAATGTTGTGGCCTGGCATGGGAATTATACACCCTACAAATACAACCTGAAGAATTTCATGGTTATTAACTCAGTGGCCTTTGACCATGCAGTAAGTGTGAACCCTGTAGGGGCCCTGGGATGAGACAATCCTTGGGTGGAGGGAGTCCACAGTAGACCCCTGACAATTACAGATCTAACATTTCCAATGTCACTGTTGTAAGCCCTAGAGATAGTCATTTGTCCTTTGGTGAAGGAGTAAATAGCAGAGCTAGTAGGGGAGCCAAGACAGATACTCAACGCTCCCCTGTGAACACAGCTTTGTTCTCTACAGAGGGTTCATAATACTCTGGCTTGTGTTTGCCAAACTAAGTGGTTAAATACTTAGTTTCTTTGTAGAAAATGTATCCCCCAAAACAACCAAGTGTTAATGTCGGTGGTGAAATGAGGAGAAAGAAACTTCATGAATTTGGAGAAGTCTCTGACATCACAGCTCCAGAGCCTCCTCTACAATCTCTGACTGCTCACCCCAGTGCCTCCATTTCTGGCTGTGTTTGGCAGTGTTAGGGCGGATAGCCCACTTCTAAAGTGACTCATAACATTCAGTGCTTGAATTTAAACCAAAGAAATTCTAGAGCATACACTTGGTCATATTTTTCAGTCAGTTAGGGGACCACAAATAGGTCCCTGGTCTACAGTGCAGGCCCGCAAGACCCTTCATACTTAATAAGGTGCTGATTCGGAGATCCTGGGGGCAGTTCATTCTGCAGCCCACTTCATAAGTGATTAACTTCACACACAGAGTGGAAGGATAATTAGAGCAGAAGTCAGAGTCTCAAGAGGCAAAAAGATTATCCTGAGCCAGTTCAGTTTATCTTTGGGGGAACCAAACTATCTCTCTGAACAGCAGCAACTCTTAATAAAAGCAAAGGGGAAAAGAAAAGTGAGACGTCAGGCCCCAAACAAACAGCATGAAAAAGGATCCTGAGACACTGATAAAGCTTTATTTGTGCCTCACTGCCTTTGCTTTAATAGTTTCAGACCATTTCCCATGACAGATGAAGAAATGTTAACTCTCACAGCATTAAGGGTTGCGTGTATTTTTATTTGAATTTACACAGGTGCAGTCTTCTCTGTACTGCTGCTATAGTTATTTTTCCAAAATTCAGTTCTGATCATGCCACCACTGCATTCATTAGAAAACCTTTGCAGGCTTCCCATGGCTTAGGATTAAGTCTGAGCTCTGAAGCGTGGTGTTTGATGCTGTTCACCATCTGTCCCTGGACTCATTTTCCAGTACCACCTTTTGCCCCTCTCCCTTCTGTCAATGCATTGGGGTTTTAGCCTTCTCTCCTCTTAACAAAATATCTGTGCATTTTGATGTGTTTTCTGTGATTAAAATGTCATTTCCCTCACTTCCCACTTCCTTAGTCCTTCCTCCCTTTCTTCCTTTCTTCCACCACCCCCCCCTTTCTTTCTTTCTTTTGTTTTTTTAACCTTTATTTTAGGTTCAAGGGTACATGTGCAGGTTTCTCTCTCTCTCTCTCTCTCTCTCTCTCTCTCTTTTTAAACTTTTATTTTAGGTTCAAGAGTACATGTGCTCCTTCTTTCCTTCCTTCTTCTTTCTCTCTCTCTTTTTCTTTCTTTCTGTTCATTCTTGAAGACCTACCTCAAATGTCACCTCCTCTTTGAAGCCTTCCTTGATCCTTTCAGGGAGAATTAGCTGCCCACCCCCTTCCCCCAATTAATGCTAAATAAGCAGGGAATCAATCCCCATGATCTTTGAATCCCCAGACTCTTGCATGGCCTCTGAAAGGGAACATGATTGTTGATTTCAATTAAATTGAATCTCAATCTTTTTACTAAAGAATTCTGAAGAATTTTTAAAAAGCATAATCTTGTCCCTCAGCCTGTCCCATCCCTACACTACCACTATGAAGACTAGTATTGTAAATGATGTATTTTAGACTGGAAAGTCAAACAAAGAAAGCAATGAACCACTTCTCAGACTTTTCTGCCAATGGATACAATCTGGAATCTTTGTGTTCTCCCAAAGAGAAGCACATCTACACCAAAACTTGGATTTTGTTTTATTTCTATTTCCACCTTGCTCTGAGCATCCCTTCTGCTGCACATCTCAGCTGTAGCCACCCTGACCTGAGGTTGAGAAGCAACCTATTACCCTGTGGGTCTGAGGCACCATTGGTTCTCAGACCCACAGGGTAGTAGGTTGCATGTAATATAAGCTCAGCAGTGTGAAAAAGCAGCTCAGAATCCTTTTAGCTGGTGTTAATTCATTTCACTTCAAGCACAGCAAGAGGAAAAAGTCATGAGTGATTACTGCACCTTGATGACAAGCCCAGACTTCTGTTGTTTGATCAGAAACTAGGCTGTCCCTTTGCAGCAACATGGATGCATCTGGAAAACATAACCCTAAGCAAATTAATGCAGGATTAGAAAACTACTGCGTGTTCTTACTTATAAGTGGAAGCTAAACATTGAGCACCCATGGACATAAACATGGAAAAAATAGAAACTGGAGGCTATTAGAAAGGGGAGGGTGGAAAAACTACCTATTGGCTACTATGCTCACTACCTGGGTGATGGGATCCTGTATTAGTCCGTTTTCATACTGCTATGAAGAAATACCCGAGACTGGGTAATTTATAAAGAAAAAGAGGTTTAATGGATTCACAGTTTCATATGGCTGGGGAGACCTCACAGTCATGGTGGAAGGTGAAGGAGGAGCAAAGGCATGTCTTACATGGCAGCAATCAAGAGAGCATGTGTAGGGGAACTGCCCTTTATAAAACTATCAGATCTCGTGAGACTTGTTCACTATCACGAAAACAGCATGGGAAAAACCTGCCCCCATGATTCAATTACCTTCCACCTGGTCCTTCTCACAACATGGGATTATGGCAACTATAATTCAGGATGAGATTTGGGTGAGGACACAGCCAAACCATATATCAGATCCCTACCCCAAACCTCAGCATCACACAATATACCCATGTAACAAGCCTGCACATGTACCCCTGTATCTAAAATAAAAGTTGAAATTAAAAGTTGAATCAAAGTAAATAAATGAAAAGAAATTAGACTATCACTTGCAAACACCTTCAAGTGTGCATGAAATGTGTGTCATTGTCCCGTTGCCACTCTTGCATTGTGCGTTCAGTCTCTCCTTGTGTGTTCACAGGACCCATCCATTTTCACAGTGTTGACTGCTAAGTCTGTCCGCCCTGGAGTGGCCATCGCTGATTTTGTCATCTTCCCACCTCGATGGGGGGTTGCTGATAAGACCTTCAGGCCTCCTTATTACCATAGTAAGTCTCTCTTTTAGGGAGCCACATTTGCAAGCCAAAGAGACAACAAAGCAGTGAACACTACACATTGGGACTAATGCCTAGGTTGTTTCTGGACACCTCCCCTGGCTTGAATTCAGGATCCTGCTTCACAGTGTCTAGTGCTGATCCCCAAGCTTTAATCTCTTTAAGAGATGGTAGTTGTGTCAGTCCGTTCTTCGTTGCTATAAAGGAATACCTGAGGCTACATAATTTGTAATGAAAAGAGGTTCATTTGGCTCATGGTTATGCAGCCTGTACAAGCAGCATGGTGCTGCCATCTGCTTCTAATGAGGCCTCAGGAAACACAATCATGGTGGCAAGCAAGGCGGGAGCTTGCATATCACGTGATGAGAGCAAGCAAGAGAGAAAGGAGAAAGTCCCAGCCTCTTTTGAACAGCGAGACCTCATGTGAATTCATAGAGTAAGAACTCACTCATAACTGTCATGGTGGCATCAAGCCATTTTTGAGAGATCTGCCTCCATTAACCAAACACCTCCCACCAGGCCCCACCTCCAGTACTGGGGATTACATTTCAACATGAGACTTGGAGGGAACATACATTCAAACTATATCAATAGTGATGCATTGACTCTGAGACTAGTTCCCAGTTTCTCTGTCCCATAAGAGGCAGAGAGGCTGGTAAAAATTAGAAGCCGTGTTAGAAAGGCTTCTAAACAAGTTCCCTCACATTTTGGATGTTTCCTTTTGGGAATGGGGAATGCTGGGAAGATTGTTAGTCTGTTGTTTTGGGAAAGTTTATCACCTAAGTATGGTTCAGACAACCAGAAAAAGAAAAAGGGGGGAGGGGGAGAGAAATGTGACTCATTTTGGCAGGGCAAAGCAGACTGCAGCCTACATTAGGGAAAGGACTCTATTCTGGAAAGAGTTTCTGCAGAGCATTTGTTGCCTAGTACAAGACCTAACAAATTACTATTTTTATTTTATTAATATTATTATTAGTAGTACCTAATAATTATTGGCCAATTTCTATGGCCCTGTATAAGTTCTTAAGACTAACTCAAAGTGTTTGTAACAGTTGTAAGACACAGGTAGTATTATTGTCCCCCCCTTTTCTCAGGAGATTAAACTGACACAAGGATTAAGTAACTCTCTCAAGGACTCACAGCAAGTCTAGTAAAGTCAGGATTTAATTGTAGGCTGTCTGATGCCAGAGCACACACTCATGACCACTAACTGATATGGCTAGCATAGTCTCTGATACATAGCATGCTTCTGATAAATATTTTTTTAATAAGTGAATGCATCAACAAAAATAAATAAAGTACTTCATGGCTGTACTTAATGAGGTTGACAGTTTTAAGTGTGCAATAGCTAGCTGAAAATCCAACCAAAGGTCAATATGCAATTCTACTTCCTGGAGTGTGCATTTTTTTGTACATAGAGTTCTGGGAAGACTGTAAGAGGCATTCCATCTGAAACTTTCTAGAAAACAAATTCCCTTCTTTAGTAAACCCCAGGGCCTTCTGTTTATATGAGGTCCCTCTCTGTATATACCAGTTCCCAGGTGCCAGGGCTCAACAGAATACAACAGTGCACTGAATGGCCAATTTAGCTATTTTATAGCATCAGGAATGAAGGCCCTCAGGATGGAAGAAGGCCACTCCATGGTCAAATGCCAGCATCCCCCTTTTTAGATGATGCCATCATGGTAGAGAAAAGAAAATAATCAGTTACCACTGCAAAGACACTAGCTATTTTGCAAATAGCATCATAAGTCCTTTCTAAAAAATGTCAAGCCTACTAAAGACTCTAACTTTTCTCCTCCTGGAAGTTAGTGGCTTAGAGAACCTGTTGTCAAGGAGAGAAAATTGCCCTGGCTTATAGTCTGTACTTCACATGCTACTCCTTAATAATTCACCGTTTCATTCTTGTTCTTTTATTGAGGTTACTCTGTGTGCCTGTAGTGGTTCTCACATTTTACCATGTATCAGAGTCAGCTGGAAGGCTTGTTGAAACAGATTACTGGGCCCCATCCTCAGAATTTCTGCTTCAGTACATCCAGGATAGGACCTAAGAATTCACATTTTTAACAAGTTTCCACGTGATGCTGATGCTAGTGTTCTAGCGGCCTCACTTTGAGAATATTCGGGGGTATAAAAATCACTTAGCCTTTTCTTAAACATTTATTCTCAGAGTTTACTTCCAAAGAGCTTATTAGCTTTCAGGTGGAACCTCAGAATCTGCCTTTTTTTGAGATGAGGTCTCACTCTGTCACCCAGGCTGGAGGGCAGGTAGCACAATCTCAGCTCACTGCAGCCTCCACCCTTGAGGCTCAAGTGACCCTCCCCTCTCAGTCTCCTGAGTAGCTTGGACCATAGGAGTGTACCACCACACCGGGCTTTTTTTTTTTTTTGGGGGGGGGGGTGGATTTTTATTACAGACAGGGTCTCACCTTATTGCCCAGACTGGTCTCAAATTCCTAAACTCAAGCAATCCACCTGCCTTGACGTCCCAAAGTGCTGGGATTACACGTGTGAGCCACCGTTCCCGGTCAGAATCTGCATTTTTCATTGGCAAGTCAGGGGATTATAATGAAGGAGGTTTACAGAGTGCTTGTTGAGAAATACTGGCCTAGGGTTTGTCCCTGTCCCTAGGTAGAGGGATAATAGAGTCATCTGATTTAGACAAGTTTGCTACTGTGCTGTAGGCTCTCAAACCACTCCTTAATTTTTATTTGTGGTTCAGACTTCCTGAAACAAATAACCTTGAGAGATGCCTCCTGTAGTTTTTTAATGACTCTCAAGGTAAATTTGGCCCCAGGGTAGATCTTGTAAAGGTATGGGTACCCTGAGTTAGTTGGAAAAAACCATCAAACCCCAGATTAGAAATTATTTTTCCAGAGATATTAAAAATATTGCTTTGGCAATACTCAAAAATCTTTGCTACTTTGATGTGACTTTATTATAAGAGAAAATGGAGAATTATTTTTGGAGAAATATTGCCTCCAGTCATCTTAATGTGCCTTAGTCAAATAGATTCAGCTTTAATCAGAAAGGCAAGGTGTATCCTCCCACTGTCCTTTGAAATATAGAAAATGATATAGAAATGTCATCACCAAGCTCATTTCTCTCTAAATTCATATTCATATCAAAGCTGAATTCTATTTTGCTGTCTTCTTAAAATTAAGCAATGAAGGTGACCCTGAGGACACATACTAGAGCAAGGAGTGTGACACCAAATTTAAGTCATGAACAGAACTGTTTTTAAAACAGACACTTTATGCTTACATTTGCTTCTTTTTTTGTATTTTTACTTCATAGAGAAACAAGTAGAGCTATGACCTGGGTCTCACCTCTTCAGCAGGAACTCACACACTCTTACTCACTTTGTAGGGGCCTGCAGTAGCTTTCTGTTTCTGAGCAGGGTGGGTGTGGCTGCTTAGTCAATTATAAAAGTATTTGGGACTTGGTTATACTTCATATGTAAGCCAGAAGGGCAGGCGTGTATCGTGTCCAGTGTTTGATTTTGTAAGGGTTGTCACTGCCACATCTCTCTACTCTGTCCTTGGTTTGCATTCTCAGTACTCTCACAGGACAGACTATGAGTAGTTTTAAAGGTTCTTTTGTTGTTAATGATTTCGTTTTTAAGTAGCTTTCAAGGCTATTTCTTATTCATCTCTGTCTCACGGTATGCAGCACAATGTCTAATTATATATGCTGGATGGATGGATGGGCAGATGGGTGAAGTGGGAAAAGGATAGTTGAATGAAAGAGTGAGTAGATGTGTGGTTGGAGATGAAAAGGCACTTATATTTGCTCAGGTGTTATATTTCTTTAATTCCTGCTCTATTGTATTGCTACTCTAATAAAGAGCTTTATTTCAATAGAAGCATAAGAGTGGAAGAGTAGAAGCATGGTGATTTTAGTCAAATTCTGTGTTACTCTAGAAAGCACAACTAGGACCAATAAATTTAACTTCTATAAAAGCAAATTGCCATTTAATATAAGAACTTTATAACACTCAGAGCTCTTCAATAATATGATACGCTTTGTAGAGTAGACAGCTTCCATTCACATCCAGGCAGAGCCCAGGAGGTAATCAGTTAGGAAAGATAAAGACATTTCTTCTACATTGAGTAGAAGTAAGGATCCCTTCCAATTTTAAGGTTTAGGACTCTATGAATAGGGTATCAATGGAAATAGAAAAAATAAAAACAAATCCAAAAGACATTTTGAAGAACAGAAAGACAAGAGGATATCAGATTTAGCTATAGAAGGTAATATTTGTTATAATAAATAGCATTGACTGTCTGTTTTATACACATACCAAGATTCTTTCACACAGATTATCATTTGATAATGGACTTTTAAGTCTGGGGTTCTTTTCATTATCTCACCATCCATCAACACACACACACCCCCCACTTAAGCTTTCTAGATTGGAAACTAGAAATGTGGTGTTGCCATGTCCTACAGTGGAGCTATTTGGGAAAGGGTTCTGATCTGGGAGATAAGATAACTTTGATACAGGGCTTGCAAGCTAGATGATAGAGTACGTTCACTCTCTATTATGACTGGCATTTTAATTATTATTATATCCTCTGGGCCCTGATATTCTTTAGATCTAGCCTGATTCCTGTCAGACAGTGGAACTCAAGACCTCTCATAATCCACATGCCCATGAAGTAGAGCTGTGCCTGCCAAGAATGCCAGTTATGAATGTTTTGTGATTGTTCATCTGTCAATCTATATTCTTTATAGATCCTATAAAATTTATTAGTTTCTCCTATGTTCTTGGAATTCTGCAGAAATAATGTGTAAGGGGTCTTGGTGTTTTACTGGTCTTGCCTTGGATAATAAAAATAATACTGCTTCAACCTTCCCAGGGAACTGCATGAGTGAGTTCATGGGACTCATTCAAGGTCACTATGAGGCAAAGCAAGGTGGGTTCCTGCCAGGGGGAGGCAGTCTGCACAGCACAATGACCCCGCATGGACCTGATGCTGACTGCTTTGAGAAGGCCAGCAAGGCTAAGCTGGCACCTGAGAGGATTGCCGATGGCACCATGGTAAGTATGTTAACTGCCAGATTCCAGCAGCCTCTGAACTCCCCACCCTTGCTGAAAGGGGTGGCCATTTTTTATTTATCCAAAGTCACAGAGGAAGAGTCAAAAGGGGGAGAGTTACATGACTGCATAAGTATGTTTACATGTGTATATACACACATCCTTGTGTATATACTAGACTTCTGGTGTGGTGGTGTAGAAAGGTCTTTGGATTTGAATCAGACCTGGGTTCTGGGTTTAAGTCCCATCTCTTAGTTCCTGTGTGATCTTGAACAAGTCACTTACCTTCTCTGTGCCTCATTTTCCCTATCTGTAAAATGGTTATAGTGTCGAACCCAACAGATGGCTATGAGTTAACCTAACAGACTGTCCAACATGATTCAAATATAAGGGAATATTATTAATACTATGTGAACCCTCTTCCTGTATCCATATGCAGCCCTGAGCATATGCTATGTCTCAGTGTCTTCTGCTTTTTGAAGTAATCCTCCAGGGCCACAATAGTAGCAGAGGCATGATATCACCTTCAGCACATGTTTCAAGCCAAAGAGGGTCAAAAGCCCTTGCTTCACTATAGTCAGGGCTTGTGAGAAGGAATTCTCAGCTGTTTTTTTTCATTTTCCTTGGCTCTGTTTTGGCATGGATACAACTGACGGGATTTAAAACCTGTTTTGTATTCCTCCTGTGTCAGGCTGTAAACATTGATGCTGAACACAATTGCAGTTGGCCGCAGTGCTTGATTTTATTTTATTTTTGCATTCTTTGAGGTAGTGTTTATGGAGCGCAGGGAGTAACTTTATGCTAAATCACATGCAAATTTGCTTTACTTTTTAAAATAAATGCCTTCAGGCCGGGCGCGGTGGCTCACGCCTGTAATCCCAGCACTTTGGGAGGCCGAGGCGGGTGGATCACGAGGTCAAGAGATCGAAACCATCCTGGTCATCATGGTGAAACCCCGTCTCTACTAAAAATACAAAAAATTAGCTGGGCATGGTGGCGCGTGCCTGTGATCCCAGCTACTGAGGAGGCTGAGGCAGGAGAATTGCCTGAACCCAGGAGGCGGAGGTTGCGGTGAGCTGAGATCGCGCCATTGCACTCCAGCCTGGGTAACAAGAGCGAAACTCAGACTCAAAAAAAAAATAATAAATAAATAAATAAATAAAATAAAATAAATGCCTTCAATACTACCTGGTTTAAAATCTGTAGCACAGACCTGCTTACTTCATGCTTGCAAACTACCCTAGGCAGTGAGCATTATCTGTCCATCTGTCTAGTGCAGTTTGCTTTCGGTCCCAACCGTGGAGCCAGAGTTGGTGAAGCTGCTCTGCAAAAGGAGGATGCACAGAGTCCCATTTGCTTGCTTTGGCTCTTTTTCCCCTTTCAAGGGCCTCTATGGAAACCCTCCATCTGAATGAGATACAGTTTGGCAGCCTCAGTTAAGCTATAACCTCTGAAGTCTCCTGGAGGTACATTCCTGGAAGCTATTCCAGAGTTGCCACACAATAACCTTTGGTGCCCCAACTTGGCTTTGGGTGGTCAATGTTATGAGGGAGCTGTGTTTTATAACAGTGAGGCATAGAACAGGGCTGTTTCTATGAGGAGCAGTGCTTTAAATAATGTCTACGACCTGGAGTACTAGTGAGAAAGAGCTCTGCTATTAGGATGGGAGACCCTGGGTGTCAGGGAGCCAGAATACCTGATGGAGGAGGGTCTAACACTTTACCTAGACCTAACTTTCAATGTTCCTCACCATTTCCCATTATATAATTCAGACCTAGGTCTATCTATATGTCTTATTCTTATTCTTTTTTGTAGTGATTAACTTGATACAATACCATCTTCAAAGTCAGCTGGGATGGGGCTTTTGTTACTCTAGCCAAACAGGGAGGATTTTAAGAAGCAGTCAGCAAAGAGACAATAGGAATGGCCATAATGATCCTTATATCTGAATAGTGCTTTTTAAAAATTTTTCTTACTTACTATTTATTATTTTTATGGATATGTAGTAGATATGTATATTTATGGGGGGTACATGAGATATTATGATACAAGCATGCGATGTGTAATAATCACATCAGGATAACTGGGGTATCTGTTACCTCAAGGATTTATCCTTTGTGTTACAAACCATCCAGTTATACTCTTTCAGTTAATTTTAAATGTGTGATTAAATTTTTATTCACTATAGTCACTGTTTTACACTATCAAATGCTAGGTTGTATTCATTTTTTTTCTTTTATTTATGTATTTATTTTTAACTTTTATTTGAGGTTCAGGAGTACATGTACAGATTTGTTACATAGGTAAACTCATGTCACGGGGTTTATTGTACAGATTATTTTGTCACTCGGGTACTAAGTGGTACCCAATAGTTATTTTTTCTGATTCTCTCCCTCCTCCCACCCTCTGTTCTCAAGTAGGCACCAGTGTCTGTTGTTCTCCTTTTTGAGTCCATGAGTTCTCATCATTTAGCTCCCACTTAGAAGTAAGAACATGCAGTATTTGGTCTTCTGTTCCTCTTAGTTTGCTAAGGATAATGGCCTGCAGCTCCATCATGTTCCTGAGAAACACATTTTATTTTGTTCTTTTTTATGGCTGCATAGTATTCCATGGTGTATATACATATATATATATGCGCCACATTTTCTTTATTTAGTCTGTCATTGATGAGCATTTAAGTTGATTCTGTGTCTTTGCTGTTGAGAATAGTGCTGCGATAAACATTTCCATGCATGTGTCCTTATGGTAGAATGATTTACATTCCTTTGGGTAAATACCCAGAAATGGGATTGCTGGGTAGCATGGTAGTTCTGTTTTTAGCTCTTTGAGGAATCACCACACTGCTTCTACAGTGGTTGAACTAATTTACATTCCCACCAACAGTATATAAGTGTTCCCTTTTCTCTGCAACCTTGGCAGAATCTGTTATTTTTTGGCTTTTTAATAATATTCATTCAGGCTGGTGTGAGATATTATCTTATGTGGCTTTGATTTGCATTTCTCTAATGATAAGTGATATTGAGCTTTTCTTCATTTTCTTGTTAACTGCATGTATGTCTTCCTTTGAAAATCATCTGTTCATGTTCTTTGCCCACTTTTTAATGGGGTCGTCATTTTTTCTTGTAAAATTTGTTTAAGTTCATTATAGATGCTGGATATTAGACATTTGTCAGCTGTATCATTTGCAAACATTTTCTCTCATTCTGTTGGTAGTTTCTTTTACGTGCAAAAGCTGTTACATTTAATTAGATCCCATTTGTCAATTTTTGCTTTTGTTGTGATTGCTTTTGATGTTTTTGTCATGAAATCTTTGCCCATGCCTATGTCCTGAATGGTATTGCCTAGGTTGTCTTCCAGAGTTTTTATAGTTTTGGGTTTTGCATTTAAGTATTTAATTCATCAGGAGTTGATTTTTGTATATGATATATGGAGGGGGTCCAGTTTCAACCTTATGCACATGGCTAGCCCGTTATCCCAGCACCATTTATTCAATAGAGAGTCCTTTCCCCCATTGCTTTTTTTTTTTTTTTTTGGTCAGCTTTATTGAAAATCAGAGGATGTAGGTGTGCAGGCTTATTTCTGAGCTCTCTATTCTGTTCCATTGGTCTGTGTCTGCTTTTGTACCATTGCTGTGCTGTTTTGGTTACTGTAGCCCTGTAGTATACTTTGAAGTTGAGTGGCATGATGCCTCCTGCTTTGTCCTTTTTGCTTAGGATTGCCTTGGGTATTTAGGCTCTTTTTTGGTTCCATGTGAAATTTAAAATAGTCTTTTGTAGTTCTGTGAGGAATGTCATTGGTATTTTGACAGGAATAGCATCAAATCTTTACATTGCTTTGGACAGTATGGTCGTCTTAATGATATTGATTCTTCTTATCCATGAGCATGGAATGTTTTCCATTTGTGTCATCTCTGATATCTTTGAGCAGTGTTTTGTAATTCTTATTGTAGAGACCTTCTACCTCTCTGGTTAGGAGTATTCCTAGGTATTTTATTCTTTTTGTGGCAGTTGTGAGTGGGATTGCATTCCTGATTTGGCTCTCAGCTTGACTGTTGTTGGTGTATAGGAATGCTAATGATTTTTGTACAATGATTTTGTATACTGAAACTTCACTGAAGTTTATCAGTTGAAGGAGCTTTTGGGCTGAGACTATGGAGTTTTCTAAATACAGAATCAGGTAATCTGCAACAGGGATAGCTTGACTTTCTCTCTTCTTATTTTGATGCCCTTTATTTCTTTCTCTTGCCTGATTGCTCTTTGCCAGGACTTCTAAGACTGTGTTGAATAGGAGTGGTATGAGAGAGCGTCCTTGTCTTATACTGGTTTTCAAAGGGAATGCTTTCAGCTTTTCCCCATTCAGTATGATGTTGGCTGTGGGTTTGTCATAGATGGCTCTTATTTTGAGGTGTGTTTTTTCAATGCCTAGTTTATTGAGAGTTTTTAGCATGAAGATATACTGAATTTTATTGAAAGCCTTTTCTGCATCTTGAATAGTGCTGTATAACTTGCATAGCACTTCCATATGATCTCATGCAGTCTTCCCATCAAGGCTGTCATAGAAGTCAGGCAGGGATACTCACATTCACATTGTTTTAGGCAAAAATAATTTAATGTATACTAGATCCCAAACATTAATCTGTGTGCTTTGGGTTGTACCACAAGATAATTCTGTTATTTTCCTTTTGCCTGTCTGTATTTTAAAAATTTCCAAATGTGAGCATACAAGAATTGTAGTGTTTGGTTTTGGGGTTTTGTTTTTAAAGCCACAGTGGGTAAGAAAAATCAGCCATTGACGAAGCTGGAATGTCTAAGATGCACAGAGTATTTGCATATTCTTTCTGTTGTGAAAAAAAACCTCCTGACAGTGTAATATCACCATTCAAACACTTCTAAGATATGACATTTAAAGGTGCTACAGCCATTCCTACTAATTCCTTTGCCTCCCTCTCCTCCCCACTCCCCCTTTTTTCCTTTTCCGAGTCCATCTCTTGGTCAGTGTCCTGAAAAGACAGGCTCAAATCCCAGGTCTGCCATGACTTGTCACCTTAAGCATGTCATTCCCCAGCTCTCAGCCTTAATTCCTCCTCTGCAAAATGAGAGTATGCCTTTCACAAGGACATAGCCACAGTAAGGAAAGGCCCTGAAATATTCCCAGGATTCTCCTCCCATGTCTGCCCTTGGATCTAGCAGACTTAGTTCCATAATACCATGAAGACAATGTGAATCTTAAGGGCTGAATTTTATTTTACAGAATAAAACTTGAGGTCCTGAGAAGTTAAGAGTCTTGCACCAGGTCTCACCAGCTTACAAATGGTAGGACCAGAGCCACAACTCAGGCTTGAGCCTGCTCTCCTCACCATGCTAGCACACAAATCTTTGATTTATTATTGGAAGATTTTTGCCTACCCATACCTTCCCTTGACATCTAATCAAATGTGTTTATTATCTATCTCACTTCTTTTTTTCTCATCCCACCTCACTTCCTCCAGGCATTTATGTTTGAATCATCTCTAAGTCTGGCAGTCACCAAGTGGGGACTCAAGGCCTCCAGGTGTTTGGATGAGAACTATCACAAGTGCTGGGAGCCACTGAAGAGCCATTTCACTCCCAACTCCAGGAACCCAGCAGGACCTAATTGAGACTGGAACATTGCTACCGTAATTCAGAGTAGATTTGTGAGGCTTTCTTGAGAATCTTATGCTTTCTGGTAGTATTGGGGGAGGGGGTTGGTTAAAATGAAAACTCACTTTTAACAGTCAAGTAACTCAGAACTTTTGCAGAAACGCATTTGCAAAGTTCTATGGCTGTTACCTTAATTACTCAATAAACTTGCTGGTGTTCTGTGGAAGTAGGGATCGGTCATAATCAGGCCTTGATGAGCAAACCTGGCAGGTCAGGTAAGTCTTGGTAAGATTGAACCAAGGCCCAGGGCCCCTTCCCCTGTGGTTGGCCCAAAGGCCTTTATTCTAAGAGCACAAGTCCAGGCATATGCTCGATACCACAAGACCAGGCCACAAGGCCAAGCATTCAGACCATGAGCTGAGACTGAAGGTATGGCAAAGCTCTTAGGAGCCAATCCAGACATGGGGAAATTTAGGGGATCATGAGCTCTCCAAACAACCAGGTTTCAATAGATGAGGAACCAGGCCAGTAGGCTGTCTAATCTTGGTAGTCACATAGCAGCCAATATGATGATACTGGAGAAGAACACCAGCCACCAAGATGTGAGAATCATTCATTTTCTTAGGGTGACTGCCTGTCCCAATTTGTGCAGAACTACATCAGTCTTCACTGAAAGACCCACATCCCAGGAAACGCCTCAGTCCTGGTCAAACCAGGACAGTTAGTTACCCTACTCTTCACTCATTTATCAATCCATTTGGTAACCACATGTTGAGTCTTTACTACCAGTTACAGAGAAGATGCTGGGGATGAAGGGTTGAATAAAAATAAGCAAGCTCTCCCCTTAAGAAGCTCACAGTTCGAAGAGATAAGGGTCAAAGAAAATCAAGGCCCGAGTATAAGGCCATGACAAAAATTTCCACTGTGTGAAAAGCTGTACCTACCAGTTCCCTTCCTATGGTCAGCATCCCTCCCAGAATACAGGGCTGCCCAAGACTTTGGATGTGAGTTGATTAGGTTCTCCTGGTGTGACAAGATAGGAAAATCTGAACAGAAATATGGTGGACAATGATGTTTGTCAGTACTTCAGCTTTGTACGTTTAGCACATTTCCCCAGCTTTGTTGCCATAGTAGCAATTTTGATATGCTGCTACCAAATTTTCATTCAGTAATATGTAGTGAGAGTAGCTATGTGTCAGGGCCTAAGGATTAGAATTGCCAGATAAAATATGAGAGGCCCAGTTAAATTTAAATTTCAGACAAACCACAAATAGTTTTTAATATAAGTATGTCCTGTGCAGTACTTGGACATTCTTATGCTAAAAAAATTATTCATGGATCACCTGAAATTCAAATTTAAGTGGGCATCCTGTATTTTTATTTGCTAAATTTGGCAATCCTACTAGAGATATAGTGGTCAAGGAATAAGGCATGTTCCTGGCCTTACCAAGCTTACATTGTAGAGGGAGAAGACATGACTTCCCCCTGGCAAGATAGCAAATAAAATAAATAGAGGGAGGCCAGGTGCAGTGGCCTACGCCTGTAATCCCAGCACTTTAAGAGACCAAGGCAGGCAAATTGCTTGAGGCCAGGAGTTCAAGACCAACCTGGCCAACATGGCAAAACCCCATCTCTATTAAAAATACAAAAATTAGGCCAGGCACAGTGACTCATGCCTGTAATGCCAGTATGCTGGGAGGCCGAGGCGGTCAGATCACAAGGTCAAGAGATGGAGACCATCCTGGCCAACATGGTGAAACCCCATCTTTAAAAAAATGTAATAAAAAATACAAAAATTAGCCTGGCGTGGTGGCACATGCCCGTAATCCCAGCTACTTGGGGGCTGAAGCATGAGAAACACTTGAACCCGGGCAGCAGAGGTTGCAGTGAGCCAAGATCGCACCATTCCAGCCTGGGTGACAGAGCAAGACTCTGTCTCAAAAGATAAAGAGAGGGAGATAACAAAATAAAATTATTACAAACTTTGAAACATGCTAAGAAGAAATCAAACAGGGATTGATATGGAATAACAAGTGGTATGAGCTGGGAGGGATCTTTCTTCATAGAGGAAGGAAGGTCTTCGGTGAAGATGTGACTTTAACCAGACCTAAAGGATAGGAAGGAGCAAGTCATTGAAAGAGTGGGGGTAAGGAGAGGTGGGAGGAGGAGAAGCACTTTAAGAAAAAGTCTCATGGGTTCAAGTACCTGAAAGAGGAGTGAATGTGGAGAGCCCAAGAGGAAGCTATTGCAATAGTCCAAGCAAAAATAAACCTTGTCCTGAGCTAATGAGGTAGCAGCAGAGACAGAAGTGGATAAATTCCAGAATGTTTTGGAGTAGACCTGAAATGACTTGGTGAATTGGATGTAAAGAGTGAGTTAAAGAAGAGTTGAGGACAGGGCTGGTATGACTGCTAGGTTTCTGGCAATGGTATTTCATGGTCTCAGAAGCTAAGGTGAAGATATCTTTAAGAGTGACAGAGGTGGATATGTCTTTCTTTTTTCTTTTTTTCTTTTTTTTTCTTTTAAGGCAGGTTCTCACTCTGTCACCCAGGCTGAAGTGCAGTGGCACAATCATAGCTCACTGCAGCCTCAACCTCCTGGGCTCAAGCAATCCTTCCACCCTCAGCCTCCCAAGTAACTTAAACTATAGGCACACATCACTACACCCAGTTAATTTGCAGAGACGAGGTCTTGCCATGTTTTCCTGGCTGGTCTTGAACTCCTGGGCTCACCCTATTTTCCCACCTCAGGCTCCCTAAATTCTGGGATTATAGGTGTGAGCCACCATGCCTGGCCCTCATACTCTTTAATATAAAGAAGTATATTAAAAATTAAACATTAACGGCTGGGTCCGGTGGCTCACGCCTGTAATCCCAGCACTTTGTGAGGCCAAGGCAGGTGGATCATCTGAGGTCAGGAGTTCGAGACCATCCTGGCCAACATGGTGAAACCCCATCTCTACTAAAAATACAAAAATTAGCTGGGCGTGGTGGCATGCGCCTGTAGTCCTAGCTACTCAGGAGGCTGAGGCAGGAGAATTGTTTGAACCCAGGAGGCGAAAGTTGCAGTGAGCCGAGATTGTGCCACTGCACTGCAGCCTGGCGCGTGGCGACAGAGTGAGACTCTGTCTCAAAAAAAAAAAATTAAACTAGCAAATAAGTCAATACTTTAAAATAAGTTTAAAAACTGACCACTGTAGCAGAGGCTGTCAATGGTTCATCTACATCCCACCAGCAATCACCATTCAGTGCCAATGGACTGCTTTCAATTGCTAGCACCTGCAACTGTGCCTGAGGCCAAAACCAGAACTCAGCCAAAGTGCTAAGGCATGAATGACCTTGGATGTAACCTTTAACCTGTGACAAATAGGAATTAGTGGAATAACACAGCAGCTCTGTCACCTCCTACCTCTGAGGTTTGTGTTCTACCCTGACCCTCTGCAGCTCCCAAAGGGATTGCACTCCAAGTGCCCACATGGCAACTTCTTAATAACGCATCATTATTCACATCCTTCCCTTCCCTCTCACTTCCCCACTCTTCTAGGGTGCTTCCTGCACTTTCAACCAGTAACTAAAACAACCACTAAAATATTTCATTCACAAACCCCAGCATATTACCCATATGAGTTCATTCTAACACTATTCTTATACACATATATCAACTCTTACCCAATTCAGTTCACTCTACTCTCAATTTGGTGGCAAAGCCTTCCTAGGGCTAATGCAGCATTCCTGGTTGTCATCCACTTAGCACCCAAGCACTTTTACTTTGCCACATCACTGCTGGCTGCAACTCCTTAGCTGGAGGCAAGATTTCATCCAAGCCAGACTGGTCATACTAATTATAAAAAAAGATTTTATTTCCTTTTGTTGTGCTTCAGATCAGCTAGAAAGTTTCCTGTATCATTTTCTTAATTCCCTGTTCTCTAAGATGCCTTCTTCCACCATGCTCCCCAAGAAATATGCCATCTTGTTGCTTAGAAGTAGAAAACCTTAAAGAACAGAAAGCACCCTGATTAGGCTTCTTCTTACAGGAGAATTTTCTGCCAGATCCCCTTGGCATCTTTATACATTTTGTTGTCGTTGTTAGAAAAGGGTGTAAGAACAGCCACCTTCTCTCTTTCTTTCTGAGAGACGTCTTTCATGGCCCAGACTACTACCAATGGCTTAGGACCAGTGGTGCTCAACAGAGGCAGTTTTGTCCCTCCCACCCAAGACATCTGGCAAAGTCTAGAGACATTTTTCATTGTCACAACTGGGGAGGGTGCTCCTGGCATCTAGTCAGTAAAGTCTAGAGATGCTGATAAACATTCTGCAAGGCACAGGACAATCTCCCACAACAAAGAACTAGGCGGTACTGAATGCCCACAGTGCTGAGGTTCAGAAACCCTGCTCTAGAAACAGTGGTTCTCAAGTTCCGCTGTGCATTGGATCTTTAAAAAACCCCACAACTCGCAGTGCCCAGGGCATGCCTCAGATCAACTAAATAGGAACAATAGGGATGAGACCCAAATATGAGAATGTTGTTGTTATTGTTTTGAGACAGAGTTTTGCTCTTGTTGCCCAAGCTGGAGTACAATGGCATGATTTTGGCTCACTGCAACCTCTGCCTCCCAGGTTCAAGCAATTCTCCTGCCTCAGCCTCCGGAGTAACTGGGATTACAGGAACATGCCACCACACCCGGCTAATTTTTTTTAATTATTATTATTTTTAGTAGGAACGGGGTTTCACCATGTTAGCCAGGCTGGTCTCGAACTCCTGACCTCAGATGATCCACCTGCCTTGGCCTCCCAAGCAGCTAGGACTACAGGCATGTCTTACCAGATCCAGCCATATCAGGGTTTCTGTGCTCAGGTGGGGCACAGAAAGAGTCAAGATGTTGTAGGAGTTATTAAGAAATTATTTTAGGCAGATAGAGAAGAAAAGGGGTCCTTTGGAATTTTCTTTTTTTTTTTTCTTTTTTATATATATATATATATTTTTAAGTAGAGATGGGGTTTCACTATGTTGGCCAGGCTGGTCTTGAACTCCTGACCTCATGGTCTATCCACCTCGGCCTCCCAAAGCGCTGGATTACAGGCGTGAGCCACCACGCCTGGCCGGAAGTTTTCATTTTTTAAAGCATCTCCAGAAACCTTTTTTTTTTTTTTAATCCAGCCCAAAATGTCACAGAAACCTTTCTTATAAAGCCCTAGCTCTTAGAGCTGGGCTGGCAACCTTTGACAT